CCATCATATCCAGCGGCTTTGTTATTTTTTTAAATTTTTAATGACTTTGATAATTTCGTCCTCGGTAATAGGCCCATTTAAAATTTCGTCGAACTCATTTTACTCTAGATTAGGTAATTGAAACTCTTCCTCTTCAATTGCCACACTTTCGTTAAGCTTTTTAAAATGTGCATACATTACTTCTAGTGAAATTGGACTTTCCTTTTTGTTGTTTCGGAGAAAATCTATTTAAAACTTTCCAAAATTCTTTCGGGTTATTTGTTGATATATTACGAAGCTCTTTTTCTGTCTTCAACTGATAATTTTGAAAACATTTGTTTATTTCTTTTTTTGTATTCATTACTTGCTCTTTTCAGTGACTTCTTATTATTTATACTTTTCTGTTTATTATATTTATATTTTGCCGAGTGAAATTGTTTTCTTTTCAGCTGACATGATTTATTAAACCATGGTTTATTCCTTTTTTTTGGCCCCATGAGTTTTTTTAATCGGATTATTATTAGCAAAGGTTCCAAAAGAATCCTTAGCTGCCTGCGAGTAAAAATTTGTTAAACTAGTTATAACTCTGTTTATATCATTATTATCGTTTTTGAAGGATTCTATTTCATTACACAAATCAAGAACTTTTTCCTCGTTCTTTCTTACATTTTCGATGAATTTGTGTTTATCCTTTTCAATCCATTTTATTGACTTCCTTTTATGTGAACGTTTTTCTTTTTCTATAGTAGTGACCTCTGTTGTGAGTTTGACATGAATGCGGTTATGTACATCTGAGAATAATGCATCAAAAGGAATAATCTTATACTCTTCAATACGCTTAAAAAGGTTTGACGAGACAATAAAATAGTCATTTAAACTGTTGTCTTTCGTAGTAGCCTTACCTATACCCTTATCCGATCCAGTCCTACCCCCTGTAATATACAAATTATTTCTCTTACAAAACTTTCTAATTTATAACCCTGAGTGTTTGGACGCATTTTATTTTCTGAACATCTTTTTAGTGGAATCTTTAATGAAATTAAATTTTGGTAATCATATAAAAAATCGGTTATTTCATCGTCTAAGACCTCTACCAAATTTTCATCTGGAACGACAAAATCCAAAAGGGTTCCAGTTCTGGTATTAAAATCACCAATTAATGAACACAACTGTTCATCATTTCTAAGTGTTACCATCTCCCTTTCTATTTCCTCAAAAGCATCTTTTGATGCATATCTGCTATTTTCTGGTGGTATATAAACACATCCGATCGACATGTTTGATTGGTTTGAAATATTTTTTAGTTGCATCCATTGAACAAATTCACAGTCGGTTTTGATGAACTTGATATTTCTTTCTATTAGTGTACTATATATGACCGAGATGCCACCAGATTTTTTCTTGAAATTTTTTCTACATTTTGAAAAAGAAAGATACCCATCGGGCAAAGATAGCATATCAAATTCATCAATTTTTGATTCAATACATACCAGAATATCGTATTTTTGAATAGTTTCAATGAATTCGGGAATAGTCAATTTAGATTTTAAGCCACACACATTAATACAAGACAATTGTAGCCCCCCAGGTTCATAGTTTAAAAGTTCAGAAGTAACCTTAACTCTTGTAGCGGCGTTGTCCTACACATATTCGTTTTCTTCATTGTTCGTATCGGAGGATTGTGTACGCGTTCGTTTAAACGGTCTAGGTGGTATTGGATGACTTGCACCACTTTGCTCTTGATTGTTTTTCAATAGGGCCCCTCTGTATTCAGATGCTATATTCTGTTCTTCTTCTGTACTTTGATATTGTTTTCCATTAATAAATAGTTTGTCTCGGACCAACTTAACTTGTTTCCCTTCTTGTCTAGCTTTTTTAAGAACCGGGTACAATTTTTTCCGCCGAGTTTCAATCTCTTCCGGGAATTGTTCATTAACTCCAAAGCTCTTTCCTTTTAATTTGTTTGTGTTTCTAAGCACCGCTTCTAGTTCTTTTCTGTATAAAAACTTTGCCACAATAGGCTTTGTGCCATTAAGTCCTGGCTTGCCAAATCTATGGACATTTCCAAGTTCTACATGAAATTCTATTCCGAGTTCGTTGTGCATAAAGCGTCGAAGCTTTTCTTCACAGTTTCCATTTTGTTGAAAACCTAGTCCTGAGAAAATTAGATTGTTTTTCATTGATCTGCACCTTAAATCTAGAAGGCTGTGTTCTATTTGTTTAAAATTTTCTTTCAGATTGTCATTTTCTATTTGTCTTTCAATTTCTGTGTTTCTTCTCTTCATATTCTCGATTTCTTTTTTGTTGCTCGTACACCTTTCAACGACAGTGTCAAGCAACCCTCCTATGTCTTCCACACTTTTTTCAATAAGTGAATTTCTTTTGATTAAATTTAATATCGATGTTTCAATTTCGGTGATTTTGTTGCACATTTGACTAAGCGAGCCATTCATTTCATCTATCTTAGCGAGCTTATCCTCTAATTTCTGTTGCCGCACATCTATTCTTTCAAGGATCATTAAGATTTTATTCATATTTGAATCATTATCGGATTGTTCCATTGCTTTCTTACTTTCCTCGATCAGCGATTTTGTGTTTAGAGCTATGTTGTATATTTGAGGAGGTTAAACAATGGTAACTAACGTTGAAGCACATATTGGTCTTATTTGTATTAAAGCACAAATGGGTAAACATCGGTATTAAAAGGAATAACTATATTAAGAAGTCGACTACACACCTCTATTTAACAGATCCTACTCACAAAATTTTGTTTTGCAATCACACATTTTGTTTATTTCATAATCGAGCTCATACTTAAGTATTGATGATAACAAAGTTCTATACAAAAAATGATGAAAAATGATAAAAACGAAAAAGCAATGTGCTCCGAAAATTAGGAAAAAAATCATTAAATGCATTACTCACTTGAGCCAAAAACATACTTTACCATTTTTACCGCTGTCATTGGTGTGTTTATCAAGATCTAATACCTCTATATGAACAAAAGGAGATGTTGGGTTTACCTTAGTGGTACTGCAACCCAGCGATATAAACAAAACAAACCTATCAAGAGGTTATTTAATAGTCTTCTACGATAAACTGATTCCTATGCATAATGTCAAGTTATAAATCACTCCGTGTCTAAACACGTTACGACTTAATTCCATAGACAATCAGAGATATGACAACCAAACAAAATTCTCAAAAAACTACAAAAAACATTAGAGATATAACTCTTAGAAATACTGACGATGTTCCAGATTGACGACTGGCACATACATATGTGATGAGTTTGAAATAGTTCACCACTCTTTTTTAATCTCCATAAGTGGAATAACAAATTGGTACCTCAAGGAAGACACAATGACATTAAGTACAAGAAAATTTCTTTACTCTTTAATAATGGAGTAAAAGAATTGAATATCAGACACTCTAGTACATGCAAAACGATAAAAAAGATGTATCATAGCGTTGTTATCGAAAGCCAGGTCGAAGAACTTCATCTAATGATATGAAAACTTTGCCGTCCTACACTCTTATATCAGTGGCTCTACTTCAGAGTAGATTCCATATATCAACGGTGTAAGAGAACAGAAACAGAAATATTGTGATATGCATAAACCGCTGATTAAATTTATTTTTCCGGTTACATTACACGATGATTATGACAACTTTAATGGGTTTTTACGTTATTTCTCTCCAATACTACTACATGACTGAACACTACCATTTACTATAATAGTGTTTTGATCTGGTACCAAACAAATATGAAGCGTATGTGCAATTTACAAACGTGTTTTGATTTTTTAAATGTAAATAGTTTGAAGATGTAAGACCGTGTCGATGTACCAATATCTCATTCACGAAAAGACGAAAAAATAAATCAAATACATCAGGAATGGCATATCTATAATGTCATACCTTACTCTCGTACATGTTTGAATTATACGGTCTTCATCTACAGGTGTGTGCTCCTTACACAAAAACCTGCTGCAACAGAGTTATGAAAAACAACGACTGAAATCGACACTACATAAGTTTTACGGTCACCAGCACGAATTGGTTGGCCAATGCGATGTGTCTGTGTCTCAACTCACTAACGACATGTTTTCCTAGACTTAGGTCTTTAGATAAAAGTATAGTCGTATGATCTTACTGATGACAAATTTACCAATTGTGTCCTATTCCTGATAGACATTTTGACTGAATATGATTTTGCATGGCGGGCGGTGCATGCATAGTAGGATACGGTTCGGTACAGTTACCCAGACAATGCTCTCGGTTAAGATTCTTTTGGAGTTCATGTGATTTCCTTAATTTTTATTTCTTGCCTTGATTTGTGTCTTCATAATCGATTTGCAAGATTTGAATATCGATAGACTACTAATGTCGCCTTCATTTACAACATTTATTTAATTATACCATATAGGTTACGGTCATGGAAATCCATGACGTATGGTACTCTTATGAAACAGGTTCAATGGTATATGTAAGTTAACAGCAGCACCTCTCAAGAATTCATACAAATTACGGGCTATGTAGTACACGTTTATCTCTTCAGAAAGCATACGAATGATCAGAAGTCACTCATATCTGATGGATATCAATTCTCAAGTTTTTAGACAGAAATGGTTTTGCAACATAAATATTTACATTTTGCATGAAACCTTGGCAGGATAACCTAAATGATTATTATTTTTAAAAGTATCAAAGTAGAGGTAACAATAGTTTATCGATGTTCCAATCTCAAAAATCAGTTACAAAGATACAATTCAAAGTACAAGCCAAAACTAAACTCCAAAAGAAGTAAGACCGTGTACGTCGACAGGGTCAGCGCCTCATATATGTTTGGATAGTAAGATAACATGTATAAGTGCAATGAAATGAAATTAAGTATTCACGATTCCCCTGCCGCCTGTTGTTTTGTGTGTACAATTTACGATGATACACTTCCGTCTAATAACTTAAACATGAAGCTATTTGTATGATGTGAATATCAAAGATAAAAATATAAAACAATATGATATGATAAAACATTTTACTACATAAATAAGTAACAAAATAACGTACGTAAATACAAAAGTTGAAATAATCTACATGTAAATACTAATGTATGTGTAAATATACAATATGAAAATAGGACTCCTTTTTTGTAATGACAGATCTTTAAAGCTAACAAATTATGATAGAATATAGCGATCTCCTTGGCACAGCCAAATTGTTCATGATACAAAATTTGAACAATCGGAAGTGAATTTGATGCCTCATATAGTATTTTGCATTTATTGGTTTCAGATACATGTATTTGACGTCTGAAGGCGTAAAATGCTAAAAAAAACAACAAGAAAGCCCCAAAAGTAAATTATTATGGACGAAAAAATTAGCTTAGGAACACCTGCACATAAGAAGACACAGTCATCTTTTCAAAAAAATGAATAAAATAGTTGCTATTGTACTAATTGCAAGGCAAAAACATAAAAAAAAATTAAATGAAATCCACTCTTATAATACTTAAAGAAATTATTTTTTTTAAATGGACAACAATTTTCTTTTTTAATATTCATTCATTTTCGCTCCTTTACCTGTTTAATCTCTATTGGTTGCTTGTTCTCTTATCTTTTCACGTGTTTTCGTTTATTATTTTGAAAAATGAAAATTTATATATTATTTTCTCTTCGGTATATATATTGCGGGAGGATTTGTTATTTTCCTGGGGGAGGACTAGGGCACACTGTTTCTTTCGTAGAATTTATAAAACATTTTATATGAAAAACCAACAAAATAATAATGAAGTCTGTACACACCCTTTTCTTGATTTTTATTCTTTTTCATTATCACACCAATAAGAAAACTTATAAATGCTTCATATTTGTAAACGCAATTATATTCATAAAAAAATGTCTTAACATTAAAATTCACATCATTGTATCCAATTCATAAAAAAAACAACCCATTGCACGAAAAGTCTCCCTATCGGAAGAATAAATTTAATTACATTAAAAGTCATAGAAGCCTCGTGCTTTAGAGGTTGAAAAAAAGAAATTGTCTCTCAAATAGTACCTTGATAGATATAAAGTGGTAGAAATGTATAAAACAATTATGAACTACAAGGCAAATTCAAAAAGGGGGAAGTCCCTAAAAACTGACATAATCAAACGCTATCAATAAACTGAACGGTAGAATCTATAGCACAGGAGATTACAAAACTTAAAAGAACAATGCAGTGTATTTCAGTATTAATGCATACTAACGTATGATGATATGAACATCTCTCATGGTGATATTCACCCAAGACTTTGCATCGCAATGGTATTGTTCGGAAAGTTATCAAAATGTTATAAATCGTAAACCATTTACTGTCTAAAACTTCCAATCTTTGTAAGTGTATCCTGAATCATGGTGACTTCACCTGAAATATATATATAAAGCTTAACAGATATGATAGAAGTCTTGATATTTTTTTATGATTAGATCACAAAATAAACTGAATAATAGTCTATTCTGTTATTAGGGATATGAATGTAAAAGGTTATAGACACCCATTATAACACAAACGAATCTTCAATTTTATAAACAAAACGAAAACACAAAACAAAACAGTGGTTAAGTTGTAAAGTTAACTCTACTGCTACATGTATCATATCTGATTGTTTGGAATGTCCATTACGTGAATTTTGTTTAAATGGTGAATATTTCCATAGCCTTTCTTTCTGATTAGTAAGAAAACAGAACATTCTAAAAATTGCGTTCGTTTGAAGTGCTCTTTTTGGTGTACCTTCATCAGTAAAGATTAAACCAGTGTTGCATAAATACGGAGCAAGTTAGGAGCTATATAACCAAATGATAACCTAAAAAGAAATGCCAAATTCATCTCAGGTCAGTTTTTGGTGCTTAGTTTCTTAATAATTTTTTAATGTGGCAACGGGGAATTTCAAATTTATTGATTGATGGATTGGTGTTAAATGCCACTTGCAGCAATTTGGCTATTTCGTAAATATCAGTTTTTATTGACGAATGATTCAGGAGTGCTCGGAGAGAACCACCGACCTTTGGAAGGGGGAATTTTAGATTTTTAGTTTGTTATAAATCAGTTCAGTACCGAATTAAATTTATTCGCAACGACCGAAGCGAATTAAGGCTTGGCATATGATGTTGAAATTTTATTTTTATTGACGAATATTGTTATCTGTTGGTATTTCGCCACATTGATTTTTCATTGGAGAATATTCTATATATTCGAGAATTCATGCATTTCGCATGCTTTCTGAAACACAAAATTGTTAGGTTGCTTCAAACTGTACTTTAATTTCCCTTTTGGTTGTGCATGCTTCTTGAACACAAAGTTGTTAGGTTGCTTCAAACTGTTCATTTCAACTTCGAACTATAAAATACTGTAACTTTTTTCATCAAATGAAGTAATATTCTTTACAGAAATATCAATACGCGATAGGAAATATCAATCCTTATGGTTTGAAAGCGTTTTGATTTGTCAATTGATGAATGGAGTGCTCATATCTCTGTGTAATTGCATTGATGTTTTTGATGTTTTAATGAAGTTTGAAATCAATGAAAACACGATGATGTTGAATTTCTTTGTTTTTGGTATACTACAATATACAATAACTAATCTATCTCTTAATTAACAATGCTCATCCTCAACCACGTGAAACTCAAACTAAAGTTTATACCTTGCAATTCTTTGACTAGAGTAACTACTCCCTTTTTCCCATCGATAACATCTATCCTTTTGGTGAAAGGGTTGTAACGCACATTAAATGAGCGAGGAATCTTAGATGCATAATCTCTAAATTAAACATAATGAGATAATGTAATACTAAACATATAACAACCGCGAACTCATCATTTGATTTTATGTTTTGCAGATACTTATACATTTTGTTTCACCTTCCATCCTACCCATCTACCTGTTGGTGTAACATGTTTCAGAGTCTGTGTTTGCCAAGTACAAATCATACAGTTTAAGGTCTAGTATTGTTTTAACATTACAGTTTAATTAAAACAATCATTTGGCGACATAGTTTCAGTAAGAATTGTTAGACATATATATCTACAACGTATATGTGTCCTTTGGTCTTTTTGTGAACGGTTATTGGCAATCATAAAACATATTGTAATTTTTATATAAAATTTATTCCGGGTATGTCACATGATCGCGTCGTCATATTATTGCGTATGCTGTTGCTGTATTAAATCTACTTTAAAAAAAAAGCCACCTATACATGAACGTCATAATTTCATGCCAGCAACTTATTTGTGTAGCTGTATTGCTGTCTTAATTGCATTTTCAACAGTATTTTTTAAAATTTTATTTGTTTTTGTTAGAAAATAATTGTGAATGCCCTACAACTTTTATATTACAAGTATATTTAACATTACTCAAACACTTCCTTAAACCTCACATTCATAATAATATATATATCTCAAAATTGCTTACTTCATTTTATCTTTAGCAGACTTAAATGAATCAGCAACATAGTATATTGGTTGAAACCTAGTAATAGGATATTCCTGAATAGCTGCTTTTTCTGGCTCAAAATCCCGTCTCTCTGGTTCATCTGTCTGACAGTACTAAATAGTAAACACAGAAATGATAAACCATTTGATCAAGTAATGTTTATTTACGTTTAATTGTGAATATGAATATGAGAAATACTGATACAGTTCTCTATCTAACAACAATCATTATCGACTAATGTACTCCATATTAGTTCATCATGTGATACGAAACTATACATTGATATGTAACAGACGGATTTTAGTGGATTTAACTTGTGCACGTACTATTGCATACCATAGTTTTAGAAATGTAATAATCAAAGGCTTTCTGTGTTAATATGAATAACAATTAATAATCATTTTAGCAAGCACTTGAATAATATCGCCTTAGTACAAATATGTTTTATTGACAATATTGGGACACTAAATGCGAATAAAAGTAAATTTATAAAAGAGTCCGAAACGCTTTTCTTGATTTACCTGCATCAAGAACGCTCCAAACCAAATCATTTGAAAGCCAGGGATGTAAAACTACGTTGAAACGTTAGAAGCTGTATAGCAAAAAAATCATCTTAGGACACTTTCCTGATGGAGTTAGAGCCTAAGTTTCTGAATAATTTCTTAATTTATTAACGGGGAACTTTAGACTAATACTAGTCAGTCCCAAAGCATCGACGACAAAGCTGGTGATATACTCGGCGACTAAATGTCCACCACCTTAAACAAGATACAATTATAGTTTTTTCAAGGCCAAATTGATACAATTAGGGGCTAGGATACACTTACAAGCCAAATATCTACGGGCAAGTCAATTGTCTAGCAGTAGTATGCTTCAGAATTGTAGTGAACATACACCTTTAACAACAAACGGAGCATAAACTGTACGTGTTTTACTAGCTAACGAAAGTGTCTATTTGACAATGAAATATTACGTACCATTTCTTGAATCTTAAGCCAATAACCTTTGCAATTATCTATACCTTTAATTTGGGTTTCCACACATAGAGTGAAATGGTTAGGGCTCTTCTTTTTCGGGATTTGTTACAATTGTGTTGGCACTATTACTAGAGATTGTTTTTCAACAGAGATGTCTTACGCCTAGAAATCATTTTTATTACGATTCAGGTAAATATATACGGTAATTACCTATACAGATTAAAGTTGTGTGTCTTTTTATACGTAAATACTTACTTCTATTTCTCCAAATGAAGACAGAATTCCAGCACCATACGCCTTCACATCTTTTCCTTCACGACAGAGCCCAAACTCTATTGTGAACCAGTACAACTATAATCAAATTAATTGAATTTGAAATTCATATAACTACAGATAGATATAGATAGATGGTGTTTAAAATTATCTCAATTCATTCACAAATCATACCATTTTTATAGGAATATCATAGTATTAATTGGCATTTGATTTGTAAAAATTGAGGAAAAACAAAACACAATCTTTATTACATACGTCTTGTGTATTATTTAATAACATTCCAATTGAAAACTGATTAACGATGTGAAGTATATGTATTGAAGTGTACTACAAAAGTAACTGTAATACCTTTATAGTATGTTCATTATATAACAGAACTGAATACTTTGATTATTTGAACATTTGCCAAACACTTCTCAGAAAATGGTCTGTTAAAGAGGGCAACAGATCAATGATTGTTGATATATAATGATATGTTAACTTTCTTATTCGAAAACCGTATTTCATTTTTCAGTCATGACTAGTGTTATATCGGATGCATTTTTCGTTCCAATCTCTTTCGACCCAAAGATCTTTGTGCCAAAAACAAAAATAATTAGACATTTTTCTCTCAATTTTCCAAGTATCATTTTCTTCAGCGAACACATGCTGTTTTTTTTTTTAAGTTTGAAGACAAACTGCCACTGAAAACGAATGTATCCGTTGATCGACACACTCGCATAGATATCAGCATATATGCTAGATAAAATTAATTGCATAAGCACAGATTAAGTGCACGGAAGGATAAAAAATCTCATTAATATTAATAAAAATACGTCGTACTGGAGAATAGATTTTTTTTTCAAATTTTGTTTACCTGCCTAACGTAAAGCTTCTTAGTCAACTAGAGGATTTCGAGTAATTTAACAAAAGTTTTATGAACTGGCTGTTTCTGTATTTGCCCGGATAAAGATGTTCGCCCAGCCTTATTAATTTATAGATCATATTGTTGTATGGTTTTAGGCCTCTATTATGGTAAAACATATTTTCAAGAATGATTGAGTTGATAGGTTTACGGTATCTCAAAACAGTTAAAAACAAAATTCTCGCTCAACTTTTGTTGTTTGTACCCCAGAACGAACTTTTGCATCCAGCTTCGGGCAAATGTTTAGTTTTCATTTCAACAGCTGTTGACTTCAAACCCAGTAAATAACTGTATTATGTATCTTGGTATCGGTAATATTGGTGTACAAATAAACAGTATAACGGGAATTATACTACTTAAACAAAAATTACATTTTTAAGCTAATGGAATTCATGTTATGTTTAAAATTTGTCACATTTACAAATAAAATCAACTTCTTGGTATTCCAAGGTTTACTCGTAAAATGTAACATACCGTTGCAAGTTTTTTTACATCATCTTCTGCAGCTCCCAAACTGGCTAATCCTAATTCTTGTGAAAACTGTGCAAAATCAGGATCTGCAAACATGGGTACGTGACCAAGCAACTCATGGCAAACGTCTCTGTATATTTAAATGCCAATTGTAAAGACAATGATAACAATAAGTCTTTCCAAAAAAACTTGTCATAGGTAATTTAAATAACTTTTCCAAAATTAATAATGACATAAGGAAACGGAATACATGTTTTAGAATGCATTCGGTATTAAAAGTTCTAGAAACCCATGATATATATATTACCTATAATGTTTAATTTGATAAGGGATGGTTGAGGCATAACTAGTAGACATCTTGAAGCAGTCACAATTCGTCATTTTTCAAAAATGTTAGTTTAGTCTCGAATTGTTTTATTTGGAATTTTTACCAGTGAAGCATCAAAATCTCTAGTCAATAAAAACAGTAGTCAATGCCAATTTTGCGTGTTTCGACATATTTTTCTTTCAATTGAAGATTGTGGTAAAACATTTTTGAGCGTCTGACCTAAACATAAAAATCAGAAAAACCGTCGGCTTCAATAGATTTCCAGTAAAGGATTCAAGTAGTGGTCATAAAAACATATAAGGGTACGAAGTATCCAATAAATATCTCAATTATACTTCTTATTGCTTCTGTTTTCATACGTTATCTTTAGAAGTAATAATGCTTTTAAGTCAGAGTTTGTAAAATAATCAAAGATTCAGTAGTGCCGTTCGTATAAAACAATCAATAAGGCCAAATAAAGTACGAAGCTCAAGTGCATTGAGGACCCAAATTTCTGAAAGGTTTTGTCAAATACAGCTACGGTAATATATTCCTGGGTTGAAAATATTCACAGTTTATAACAGATAATTTATAAATTTGATCATATCAATAATAATTCATGTCAACACAAAAGTGCTGACCACTTGGCTTACAATCAATTATAATAATGTTTTCACTGCTTGCATATTTTGGAGTCGCCAATTACACGAGTAGATTAGTCTTTTAAAATGATAAAATCTTTGTTTTTATTATGTATGCATATGTACATTCATGGATATTAGGCGTAATAATATACTTACGGTTCGGGTGTATAGAGTGGTTTCGAACCATGTCTAATATACTGTGTTGCATGAAAGACACGAAAAGCTAATCCTGCCAGAAAGTCTCTTGATGATAGCAAACCAGCTACTGGTCGTAACGAGAATCCGGAACGATCTGCACAAAACAAGTTATATCAATGTACATATATGAAAGAGTTCATTAAAGATATCAGCTCTCTCTCATATTTCAAAGAAGAAACTTAACTAACAATATTATAATTTGTAGGAAAGGCAGCTGTAGTATGATATCTTATGAGGAAAATATCCACCAGAGACTAAACCAATGAGGCAAATATACAAAGGACGACGGGTCAACTGTACGGCTTTTAATTATAAAAAAAAATACAATATACTAAGCCAGAAAAGAATATAACAAGAGAAATTTTGAAACAACTAATAACAAATGATTTCTGCTAATAAAAAATAACAAAAAATGAGGCAAATATACAAAGGACGACGTTGATTTTTATAACCACGGGTCAACAGTACGGCTTTTAATTATAAAAAAGAATACAATATATTAAGCTAGAAAAGAATATGACAAGAGAAATTTTGAAACAACTAATAACAAATGATTTCTGCTAATAAAAAATAACAAAAAAACAATTGGCACAGACAGCAACCAAGGACCACCGCTAAATAATAGGCTCTTGATTTCGGACTGTCAAATAGAATAAAGCAGAGATAAATGTGTGTGTGTGAGCTCGCAACTGTTCCCTCACCTAATAATGTGGTGTTACATCACAGAATAAGAACAACCTTTAAAATTCAGCGGGAAAAGGCTTACTCGTCACATTGTCACAAGGCAGAAAAAAATTCTTACAAAAAGAAAGGAGAAACAAAATACCGATATAGTGAATACTCGTAGTTATTTAATCAAGCCAATTTCAAATGAATAAACAGTAGTTTTATTTACTTAAATATCACATTTTCTAGAACTAAAGGCGTCTTGTATCCGCCTTCTAAATGCACCATAAAACAAACGAAGTTATTTAATCAAACGTTCAGCTGCACCTGCATATGGAGTATATATCTTGCAGTTTTAGCGACATTCAACGGCTTGCAATAGTTATCATGATTTCCTTGAAGGAAAGATTTGATTAAGAGCTAGCTTTGGAACCAAGGATTCTTTTCATTGAAGTTGAAGTTGAAGTCATCTTTTCGAAAGTTTTACCTAAGCCATCATAATTTTAACGCTGTGAAAATTTTGTGACTGAGAGGACAACGGATATATCCCGCTTGTCGTAGCTACAAATTACTTCATCAATTAAAAGTAACCATCCTGTCCGGTTTATTCTTCCCTTCCTTTAACAATATCTACCGAATCAAGATATTCACTAAATAAGATATCGAGACATGCTCACCCCTCAGAAAGTTTGATATATCTTCCAGCTGTGGAATGTTATCAGGACCATATCCACATTTCTCCTGTAGGAGTGGAAATGCTTCAAGGAATTCTTTACAAGCATGTTTTGGATACAGTGCTGTTAATTTAGTGTAGATGGAATTCCTATTAGAATGCAAACTTTTATTGATTATATTTTTCTTAATACATGTAGCCTATGTCATTACTTATAATTTCTGCCAAAGATGTTTATGTATAAATGCTATTATTTTATGTTCAGTCCCTCCTAATTTGCCTTCCATTATTAATTACATTTACCGTATTAACAATCATTTATCATATTAAAGATATTGGTTATATGCCTCAAGATACATGTAATCTTGATTCCTATTAAATCGTGTTTTGGTGCAGACGTCTCAATCAATACGATTTTAAAAGACTTTCTTATAAGTAGGTTTTTCCACATACAAACTAGTTCTGAGTAGTTCTTGTAGAAAGTAACTATAGCAATTGTGTTGATGTGGTGACATTTGCTGCCGTGTTCCATTGATATGCAACTTAGTCATTTTTTTTAAATTACCGGAAAATTTGAAATTTGATTTTCTGTTCTTTTGACAAAGGTATATTCTAGGATTTTGGCCACTCGTCAAACCAAAATTTATTCAAGTATCTATTCTCCGACTAAACTTGCTCAAAAGCTCTATAATTGTTCTTATCGAATGTTTGTCATGTAAAGTTGCCATGCATTGTGTTTTGATTTTACGTCTAACTTACCATGTTTTGACTTCATCCGCCCTATACTCTACACGTGGAATAGATTCTCCACTTAAAGAAAAAAAATGAGATCATTTATACATTTGTATTGCGTCTGTCTCTATTTCAATTATTTTTATTTGATGATTTGAAAAAAAATATTCCTCTGTATTTAATAATTTTATTTTATTTTATTATGAACATAGTAATTTGGAAAGGCATACACAAGTTGTGTCTTTAAAACGAATTTTATAGATAATCTTGAGTTAGTATATAAAATCGTATTAGAAAACTTTATTTTGATTCGGCATTAGTATAAAACATGTTGATATGAGCTCTGTTAAATATATAAAACTATATAAAAAAAATAAAAAAACAAAGCATCATACACATATAAAACATACAACTGAATACAGCCATGCAAAAACCAAAATTTCAGATTTACAGTGTTATATACTTAACCCTTCAGGAACACCTGAAATCAACCTGCGTTTTTGGGGGGTTCGTGTTGCTCATTCTGTAGTTTTCTATGTTGTGTTATGTATACTGTTTGTCTTGTGATCGTTTTTCGTTTTTTGCCACGGCGTTGTCAATTTGTTTTCGACTTTCGATGAGTTTGAATATTCCTTTGGTATCTTTCACCTACCTAGTTATGATATGTCGAATATATTTGTTATTTGAACTGAACATTTTTTTGAATGATAATTCAAATAAAAGATACACAAAGACATCATGTAAGGAAGATTCTATAAAAGTTTCATGGAATCCTGTCACTGGTTTCGAAGGAGATGCTAATTCAAGATGCCATCGTCCTCGACATGGCAAATTTGAAACTTTCATTAAAATCATGTTATCAGTCTAATGGGAGCATTGGACATAACGATACCTATATACTCCGCTTCATTAAGCGGTGGTATAAAAAAGGAAAAAAAAATGTTGTTGCTTATCAGTCAAACCATTGTCTTGATTTTTGAAATTTCAGTATAAATTGTTTTAATTTAAAGTTAGACAAAAACGATAGTTGATCCCTTAAGAGTAATACCAGGTCCTTTTTGCTCTAAATCCTGTATAAGTTTGCAGTTCTTACTGTTTGTAATTTTTAGCTATATCTGCAAAGTATTTTCTTCTCTCCCTGTATACAGCATCTGTAAATCCCTATAAATAGAAAAACCCATTGATGAAACCTTCTCATTTTAATCAAATTGAAGAGGTACTTACAATTAAAATAAGATATAAATGTTAAAGTTAGACTTACTGTGTGGATAAGCACTGGTATGCGTGGTGATTAGAAACTGTGATGGAAGAGGAATAAGAGTTAGGGTTTTAAGGACTTTATAGGAGTTAAATATGAGAAGTGTGTATCTCAAGTCAATCCTCATGACGTCATAACGAAGTTTATATTTGTATAATATAACTCAATGTTTATGCAAAGAAGAAACTAATGGCTCTATTATGGTCAACATTTTAATGAAAATAACTTACAGGATGGTCTGCTTCAAGTTCCGCTCCAGCGCTCAGAACTTTGTCTACAAATCTGTCTAGGTCCGAAACGTGTTTTGGGATCCATATTTCTACAAAAAAAATGTTAATTGCCTATGTAATTTATAGAAAAATTGCAGCGGACATATTATAAAATAGAAACAAGCACAAAAGATGAAGCTTTTTATAACAATTCCCCTTTGTTTATTTTGACTGTTCCTTTGATGCTTTTGTTGGCTAAATCGCTTATTAATTGTCACCCAATTTTGATAGACAAGCGTGTGACATTGAGCGTTACCGATGTAGGTTAATCCAGAAATTCACATCGAACGAAGTAAAATAGTACGCATTAGTTTGATAAATTTTATGATATATTATAGTACTTTGCTGAATTTTAGTTATGGAATAATGTTGTGCTCATCATTCATTTTGGCTATGCAAAAAAGAAGTAGACAAGGGTCGAGACGTAGTGCACGACCATATTATTGTACCGACCAGAATAAAAGTAATGTCAATATCTTCCTTTATTTGAACTACAGAATGAAACCAAAGAACAATGAACAATTCTAAAATTAAAAATAGGCAGAGTAAAACATTTTTATTTCAAGCAGACCACAAAAGTCAAATGTGTACTTCAGATTGCGCTGCAGTTATTCCTTCATAAAACACTTTTATAATGCAATCAACTATTACGTTAATCGCCGCCAATTTAAGTTAACGTAATATTGATTGACGTGTCAAACGTGTATCTTATTAACAACGACTGCAATGACTAGGATATAACGGCATTTTCCAGAAGTAATTTATTCACTCTGTTCAAAAAGAACGAATTTTGATTTTTAAGAATATTCTTACAGAAAGTATAATTAAACATGATAAGTGGTGTATCGGTGTTTAAGTTCAGTTTTATCGAAATCCTTCATTTGATATAAGCATGTAAAGGACCACGAGTAGCTGCGAGAATAGTTTGCACTGTAACAGTTCTTGGATTTTCTGTATGAAATCTTCTCGGAAGTATAGATGCCTATATTAAAGTGTATGCTGTATACAGTTTAACTGCTTTCAGCTTGCTAACTGTACATATTCTGTGATACGGTCCAATTACGTATTCGTTTGCATGCTCCTCTCCTTGTCGTCTGTGATACCGACATACCACAGATATAATGCTTTTTTGAACTCATTTTTATTGTTTGTTTCATCTGTGTGCTCTTGGTTATTAAACTGACCAAATTTAAGAGGGAGATTTCAATACTAAAAAAAGTTGAAATTCACCATATCTGGATTTTGTTTTAGATCTATTGCGCTTTAAAATTTGATAACTTTTGGATTTTCAATATTTGGTTAAGCACAACTCTAGAGAAAGACAGTTTCGACACAAGGGCGACACATTTGTTTTTTTGGTACTTTATGATTTCGTTTTTCATCTCTCAAGCATTTTAAAGTAAAATATCTAATTCAAAGTCAGAATCTACTCAAAATGAAAAACCTTAAGCAATTAACAATCAAGCAATCAAAAAGAAATCATTTACTAATATGAGATAATAATGTACCTTCACCAACTATGGTGACACCTTTGCCTATTTTCTTCAGTTCATCAATAGCCGATTGTAAACCATTCATTCGTGTTGTTGGTACAACCATGAAGTCATAAAACTCTTTGAACTCTTTTGATGGACGCGATTCAACATGACTAATACTAACATCATGATTCTAGAAAAAAATACATATTCAATAGATATAAGAAGATGTGGTATGAGTGCCAATGAGACAACTCTCCATCCAAGTCACAATGTGTAAAAGTAAACCGTTATAAGTCAAAGTACGGCTTTCAACACGGAGCATTGGCTCACACCGACAAGCAAGCTATAAAGGGCCCCAAAAATGACTAGTGTAAAACCATGCAAACAGGAAAACCAACGGTCTAACCTGTATAAAAAACGAGAAACGAGAAACACTTATGAACCACATCAACAAACGACAGCCACTGAACATCTACAGAGAACATGCGTTGAAGTACTGTTGTCAAACGAAATTATGATTAACGAACACCATCAAATATGTAAATGTTCTAACATTATTAGATAAAAAAAAAATCATAGAAACTTCCAATAACTTTGCATCAATGCTTACTGACTTCAATTAAGTCATACGAAATGTGCAGAATGAAAATACTAAACTATTTTCTACTTAAGAAGTTTAAAAAATAAGCATAAATTTTCTGTCTGTATGATAAATACTGATCAAGAACTAGGGGTACTTTGTACCTTTTCATATCATCATGCTTTCGGCTGCATGTTACAAAAAACGTATGTAAGATACATAGGTAACATTTTGCATCAGGTTGTATTGTCGCGTTTGCTCGTTTGAAAAATGTGATACTTTCCAGGATTAACCAAGTGAAACAAACATGGCAACAGGGAAAACTAAGCAAATACTATAACAAAAAGTGAGAGCTATTCAATTCATATTACAGACTGATAGGGGAAAAACCTTTTAAACTTAATGCAAACTGTGTCCTTCAAACTACCATAAAAGATTGATTGTAAGAAGCAGTCAGAAATTTTCATAAGAAATTCACGGCAACCAGTTGGGGTCCTTTAACTTTAGAACATAATTTTTATAAACTCTGCAGAGGTAAAAACCTTCTTCAAAATCCGTACAGAAAAAAACAAATATTGTGCTTCAAAACTAGGGAAAACACTCTGCGATTTATTTTCTTTTTTTAGAAACGGTCATTCCAAAACGATTTACGTTGGGCATTGCACAAGATCGTGTCTTTCTTGTCGTTAATGAAATTGCTGTATGAAATCTGCTCGGATATCAATGGCATTGATTTGAGTGCATATGTTATCAAAAGTTTGAATATTTTAGATAGCTTTCAGTTACTTTTATCATAATTTGATACGGTAATGTTTACTTTTTGTTGTCCCCAAAACATTAATCACCGAGTTATGTGCTCTGACCTGATTCGTATTGTACGTACATATTGTTATTCAGGTAATCGAGATTTAGGTGGGTTATCAGTGCTCAAAAACAAACATAACCCTGTCACATTGCCATGTATATGTTATAACTTCTGTTTTGAACTTTAAGGAATTTGTTGTTGATGGCAGATTGATCTTTGATGGCATTTTAGTATTTACATTTTCCATCAATTTTAAAAAGGAAAAGAACGAATTTTGACCATTACTCTGTGAAAATCAAACAACTATCATGGTAGTAAGACTTGACTATCAATTGTATTTCTACCTTGTCCGTTTTCATGGTTACAAATAATTTTAAACGGCGATTTTGCATCAAATATTTTTCAATTAGAATTATGTGAATTTAGAAAAAAAAAATAAGCAAGACTTGAAATTAATTGCAACTAAAGAAAAAAAGTTTACTTGCGTATTTGCTTATCGTTGTGTGCAATGCTCTAACAGAAAATGTCTGCCTTTCTTTATCGTACTATTTCATAGTATAACTAACGCAAGATGTTTCAATACGGGTTCTGCTTGCCAGTATAGGTAGGACCACATATGTTAAACTCATTAGTGAGCAATACCCTGGAAGTATTATATTGACATTTTAATTCCATGGTTATACAGACATGCTCATCGTTCGCTCTTTATGTATTTAGTAAATAATTACTATACCTTAAATATTGATAGCGCTGGAATCAAATTATCGAACTTAGTCGTAAACTTCACAGCTACAATGTCGTCTGGTTGGGCTGCACTTTGTGGTTCCTAGAAACAGGACAAAATATTTATGTCCATTAGCAAACATTTTTGGCATATTTAGAGCGAGATATATTTTTATAACCAGTTTACCGTATATTAATGTACTTCAAGGTATTAGACCTGCACAGTTTGATTCTATTTTAATTCTAGCTCACAAGGTATCATACTCAACTATATCGTTCTTGGTGAAGGTTTAGCCAGAAAAGCGCTTCGGACAATTGATATAAACTACAAGCAGAAGGGATCAATAATTTCCATTTTCTCATTCACGTAGGGAGTTTATAACTCTTTTATAAATTTTGCCCTTTGTCTGGGAAATTATTTTGGACAATACTAACCTTAATCCTTCTTCAGCAATATGATTCGACGCTATGGACTCAATATATAAACTCACTACTCAGTAATGATTTCTTTTGTTTCAAAATGCAACAATTCAAGATAAATATTCAACGAGTGATCGAACAACGCATCTGTTCAATAATATGTGCTTGTGGATAATAGTGATGTTCGATAATATGAATTTTTATAACATTGATATATTGTAAATTAAGTAAAAAATCAAAGGATCTATATCTTTTCCATAGCGTTTTCTATTTCGTTTGATGCAACCTTCTTGACAACGTTTTGCCAACAGTTGTTGCTGTATGACGTTTGGTGGTGAAAATAAAAGATTTACTTCGAACGGCGACCTATAGATGTCTACATTCACGTCATATGGACTCTGGTTGATATTTGTCTCATTTGCAGTTATACCAAATCTTCTTTTTCTTATATATGTCTAAGGACTTATCCCTTTTATCAAATTTAGAAGGTATCTTATAAAGTTTACATGTAGAAGATATCTTATAAAAACTAGATTATATAAGATATCTTATATATTATATGAGATATCTTATATATTATATGAGAATGAATGAATACTAAAACGGCTTGCCATTTATGCATACATTAGCGTTAATTTCTGTTTTGTTACGATATGTTATTTGCGCCAACTTTTATTTTTCAAAGGTCCTTAATTAAACTGTTAAGTACACACGCAATAGCCGTAAGAAGTTGACATAAATCCGAAAAATATGTACGTTGAAAAAAGCTTTAAAAATCAGTCTTCAAGCAAGTGTAAATTGTCGGTCTTTAATGTGTGTGTAGACTCATTGTTTTATTTACATCCGAATAGGCGCAAAGGTATATTTCATCTGTACTGTAAATAATACAAGGTAATTTATAAAATAAGATGCTCAACAGTAACATTGACACAAACGAGATATGGCGCAAAAGAACGCATTTTTGGCGCAAAGGTATATCGCTGTCGAAAATATATTTGTGGTAGGAAGCCAAATAAATTTTGCTCTAAAGGCTTTGTAAAATGAATCGAGAGATACTTGTATCATGATTAAACAGGCATTGTCATTGCGGAATTTTACTACCTTAAACTCTTGGGGTAAAACAGATGACCCTTCATATTTGAATTCTTTCTTACTGATTTTTAAATATTACGCAACTTGTAAAGTACATGTATTATTGTCTTTGCTTTTGTATCACAAGTTCTTTAAATGACGACTATTAATTATTTCATTCTTGGTAATTAGTTCCCATTTCGTGTTATTTATATGTAACAATACTCTTAAGATGTAATTTTAATGTTTCAATATCCGCCGGGATTTAGAGGATAACGATTGGTTTGCACTTAACTGGAGGTGGGAGAATAGGGAAATCAGGATTTTGATTGAGTATATATTAGAATATAAGTCCAGGATTTAAGAAGGATTATTGTACGGATTTTATAACAAAACTCTTTATTTTATTTACTTTTCGTTTCTTTTTTATTACATTTAGGAGCTATACTTTGTGTATTTTTTATTTTTGTTTTTCGTTAAATTATTGTAATAAGTTTTCTCGTTTGTATGTATACAATCTTGGAAGTAGCAACACTTTATATGTGCCGCCCCTTAAATTATTTACATAACAGTTCATTTTCCTTTTCACTAATACTGATAGCTATATCTTACATTCAAGAGTCATTAAACAAATTCCTAAATTTATTTTTTTATTCAATATCGAAAAGAATACTTTTATTACAAAACCTAATCAATTTCATCACTTCCAAACATTAGAGAATGCATTGTCCTAATATTGTCAGAGAGTCTTTAGTTTCGAATGCCAAAAAATGATCATTTGATTACCTGATGAAGGTATATCCAGAAAAGCGTCGGACGCATGAAATTTACAAAGGTTTGTTTTAATTTTTTTTAATATTTATGTCGCCAATTTTATACTTTGGGGTTTATGTTTTATTTTTTGTTTTTTTGTTGTTTTTTTTTTTGGCATTCTCTTTCCTTATATAAAAAAATTCAAATATTGTATATAAATATTTTTATTTATCCTGTCACTTTTTTTGTCCATCGACTAACCAAATCAATATGGCCAGAAAAGAAAAGTTTCAATCGACCTGTATTTCGTCAAAACTATACATGAAGGTTTTATATACAAATAGGCGTAAATATATACTTATTTTTTTGGTGCAAATAGTACTGGGTACTTTGAAAATAAGGGACGTAACGGTAGCATTGGTGCAAATGAGTTTTGCGGCAAAAGTAACGCATTTTGAGCGCACCATTACGTATACTATTTTAGCACAATTGGATATCACAACCGAAAACATACTAGTGGTTGGAAGAAATGAAATTAGTATTTTGTGAACTTATAATATTATCAAGATAAAAACAAAAACATTGCGGAATGTTACTTCCTTAGACTCTCGGTGTAAAATAGATGACCTTTCATATATGAATTGAGTCTTGTCTATTTTTAAATATTATTCAACTTGTAGTCTTTCCTCTTGTGTCACACATTCTTTAAATGTCGTCTTTTAATTGTTTCATTCTTGGTAATTAGCTTCCGCTTGATTGAATATGACTATAGGTACACCCAAGTTATTTATATAAAATAAAACTAACAATCTTTATAATTTTTTTTATTAAGCTTCGACATCCGCCGGGATTTAGAGAATAACGATTGGATTGCATTTGACTGGAGGTGGGAGAATAAGGAAATCAGGATTTTGATTGAGTCTATATAGCTTATACGTCAAGAATGTAAAAAGAGTCATGACCCAGTTTTAAGTATATAAGTAAACAAATGCATCTTGGGATCTCGCGTTAGTGAACTTGAATAACTATGTTGGTATAATTTGTGTTCTTTTGGTTTTTGTTTAACAACCTTTAATCCGCATCTTATTTTCTTAATTTTAATATAATATGAAGTAAAAACAAATATTTTGTTCTAATTTTTCATCTTGTGTCAATACCCCATCATTTACTTTTTATTCTTTTCATTTATTTTATTTTAAAGTTAGTAGTTACATTCTGTGCATTCTTTTATCTTTGTTCTTCTTTAATTCACTTGTTCTTGTTCATACTTACAAAATATTGAAGTAATACTATATATGTTTTATATGTACCTCAGTTAAATTATTTACATTACATTTGTTCCTTTTTCTTTTCCTTAATTCTTTAATTTCACGTTCTAAAATTCTAACATTTATATTTTTAAAACCATATTTCAAAAATAATTGTACTGCAACAATAGTCATTCAATAACATGTAGGTCACTCAGAACCAATTGAGAATGGATAGTCCCCATATTTTCAGAGTCCTTTAGTTTTAATGTCAAAAAATGACCACTTGAAATATTGATCTCGCTGATTTTTTAAGGGGGGGGGGGGGGGGTCTTTAAGGCATTCTCGTTCCTTATATCAAAAGTTTTAAAGGTTGTATCAAAAGATTTTTAGCTACCCTGGCACTTTTTAAGTCATATCAATATGGTGAAAGAAATATTTTTCAAACATTTGCTTGATTTTTATTTCCTCAAAATTATACAACTACATTTAAAAGATCAAATGCGGTCCGTTTTGACAATCTTATACAACATTCCTTACCTCTGCAGAGTCCATGTTAATTAATGTTGTAACTGTAATAATATGAGGAGTTCCCTTTTATATGAACATGATTTATATTGATTTCAACACACGTGATGTTTCCCGGTCATTCTATTGAACTGTAAACCTATTATAAGGTTCTTATTTTAGCCATCATATCGAAAGTTACGATTTTATATGTATACTTGGAAGAGCAAGTTAATATGAAAAAAATATTCTTTCAAAATCTTACGTTAAAAAAAAATGACGATTCAACAAACTTTTAAGGTGACAGAGGTTCCATAATCTTCTTTGTAGAATTTGAAGAATATCTTAATTTTTTAAAGAAAAAAAATAAACACAAGCTTATACCGGGTCAAATGTTTTCCTTCCTATTTGGTTGTAAAAAAAATAATAACCGTGTATACATTTAAAAATATACTATGGATATTTTTCAAATGTAGTTTAACCTTGTCATTAACATTTTGTAAAAATGTTTGTGAATGATGTAAATAATGTTGGACGTATAGTTGATTTAGTATATATATTCTCAACAGATGTGACAAATCTTGGAATTAGTATTTTTGTATATGAAAAGTATGGAAATGTATTCTTTCAAAAAACCATATCATTGGAGAAATTCCTTAGTGTTGTTCTACTACAGTGAGTGATTTAAAGTGTTTCACATCCCGAAAATTATGCTGATTATTTCACATAAAAACACAATTTTTAAAAAAATTGCAAAAAAATTATTTCTGGTCCGATTTTAATATTAACAGTTCAACTCATAACTTTTTGCAGTTTTTTTAATGTTACCGATGAAATATTTTTCTGAAGAGTTATTACTGAAGATATAATTTGTATACAAATATTGTGTTGCTTACACGTGCTATATATTATACTGGAGTGAAATATCCCAGCTAATCCTCAAATTTTATTTTTTATTTTTGGTTTTGTATTTTTTATTTTTCATTCTCTTTCCTCGTGTTAAGAATTTCGAATATTTGATGTTTGGATTTTTAGATGTCCTGGCACTTTTGTATACCATTCTACTAACAATATCAATATGCTGAGAAAAGGCATTTTAAAGATCGCTTAATAAGTAGTTTATCAAAATTATAAAACAAGATTTTATATCCGAATAAGCGCAATAATATACTTCATTTTTGGTGCAAATATAATGCATTGTATTTTAAAAATAAGAGGAGCAACGGTAGCATTGGCGCAAAGAAACGCATTTTTGGCGCAAGTGGATATATATCCGCTGAAACATACCTGTTGTCGAAAGACAAATAAAATTAGTAGTTTTTAAAATAAATGTTGTTGCATCAAGATCAAAACAGGCAAAGACACTGCGGTATGTTACTCCCTTAATATCTGGGGTAAAATAGATGACTTTTTATACTTAAATTCTCTCTTGCTGATTTTTTGAATATTATGCAACTCTTAAAGTACATGTATTATTGTCTTTCCTTTTGTGTCGCATGTTCTTTAAATGACTCTGTTAGTGGTATAATTCTTGGTAATTAGCTTTCGCTTAATTAGATATGATTACATATGTACAATGTGACTCATTTCTTGATATTTATATGTAATACAAAAAGCACATATATTTTTTTATAATATTAAGTTTCAATATCCGCCGGGATTTAAAGAAAACGATTGGTTTATACTTTACTGGAGTTTGGGGAATACCATATGTAATGGGATATTTGATTGAGTTTATATTAAATACAAATGCAGGATTTAAAATAGATTTAAGTATATGATAAAAATAAGCATCATGGGACATCACGTTAGTTATCTTGAATGTTTACATGTATTTTGCATAATATGTTTTAAATCGGGGTTTGCCTCATATCTGTTTATCTGCATCATATTAATATGTTAACATAATATGAAATAACACAAATATTTTTTATCTGATTTTCAGCTTGTGCTATAATTGATAAGTTCAACCCCACCCATCGACTTATCATATTCACTTGTTTTTCCTTGTAATTATCTAATTTTACATAAGAGGTTACATTTTTTGCATTTTTTTTTCATATTTATTTTTCTTTAATTTACTTGTTCTTGTTCATACTCATACAATCTTGAAGTAACAACACTTTAAATGGACAGCCCGTTTTATAATTTACATTACATTTCTTTTACTTTAAAGCATTAATTTTATTTTTGAATCGACATCCTAAAAATATTTGTATTATGATATTTATTCAGTTACTTCACTAGGAACCAATAAAGTATGCATGGTCCTCATATTTTTAGAGAGTCTATTAGTTGTATAAGCCAACATTTTTTTTAACTTGATATATTCAAGTCGTTGATTTTTTAATATTTTGTAATTTTTGAATTTTGTTCCGTTTTGCCTTCCCTTCTCTTTTCAAAGAATTTCAAATATTGTTTAAAAATAGTTTTCCATTTTCAAGACTATCAACTAACCATATAGTTATGGTGAGAAAAATAATTTTCAACTGTTTGCTTGACTATTATTTCCTCAAATTATACAAGTAGTTTTTTTTTAATTTCAAATACAGTCCCTTTTTACAATTTATGCAGTAATCCTTACCTCTGCAGAGTCCATGTTGATAAATGTTGTAATACGAGCTTTTCTATAAGCGCACTATTTTATATTGATTTTACAAGGCACGTGATAGGATTTTTTTAAACCAATATTGCACTGAAAAAATATGAGAAGGTTCCTAATTTTAGCCGTCATATTGAAAGTAGCAAAATAATGTATATCTTTTCTTGGAAACGCAAGTTAATTTTAGAATGATATTCCTTTAAAGTCTTTCGTTCGTAAAAATGACGATTTGACATAAAATTTAAGTAACATAGCTTCAATTATTAAACTCTGTAGAATTTGAAGAACATTTCTATAATAACATAGCAAGCATAAATCATCCTGGAATTATTATTTTTGTATATGCAAAAAATAGAAACTGTCTACTGACTAGTTAGCTCTAAATTCTTTTTTTTTTTTCAAAATTGCGTAGACACTATATCTTCTTTACATTTATTCATATCTAATTAAGGAACATGTACGTGGGAACATTTACATATGAGTTGATCTAAATAAATATTGTTTTCATCGTTATATATTATTTCATACAATTTTGTCATTTTTTTTTCTGTTACAAGTTATAAGTTGAAAGTTTGTTTTGCAATAAAAGATATGCAATTCATTTTATTCAACGGTTTTATAATATACATGGCTACCACTAGTACATCATATCCATTACGGAATTAATTCTTTTTCAGAAATGTCAAGCTTATCTATAAAAGTATTTATATCAGAAAATTTTCCTTATCTATATTTAAAGCATTTAAATATATGTGTCACACTTTAAATAGACTTGCTGCAATATCGGAAGGTTATTGATTACACGACACCATTTGAGATTGTTCATTGTCACTAGTTTTCGTGACATAATTGGATGAGAGCCATTTTTAAAAATTGGAATATAACCAAATATATAATAGTTTTATATTATGTACACACAAAACATTTTTCTTGTAATGATATGTAATAATTAAACACATGTAAGATTTATCGGATTTCTTTTAAAAGAAAAAGTAATTCAAAAATATTTTTATATACAATGTAACTAAATTTCCAAAAACCATGAAACATATGATATCATAGGCGTGAATTATCGATTTAAACATAAAATAAGGTACAGAAAACATCAATAAAGGATCAAATAAGACACCAACCATTCATTTGTTTTGGTGTGGGCATGGCTATTTCAATTCAATTGTTTGATTCTTAATTTCTTCAGAAAATATATTGTTTTTGAAAGGAAATGAAAAAAGTAGTTGGTTTTCTCTGAAAATAAGGGGGTATACAAAATGTGTGTATGTTCGGAAAAAAAGATGTTTCTTTTTTATCAAAGTACAAAACAAAATGTTTGTCCCTAGAAGAAATCTCATGCCCCCTTCAAAAGATGATTGGTCGTTGCCTAATAACCTCCTTCAAGGACTTGGTGTAAGGGCACATTATTTACTTTGAGTTTTTGACATGGATGGGTCCCTCTTTGAAATATCTTATTTATATTGAGAAATTTTTACTCCTCACCTAAGCAGTCTGAGATACAGATTTTACCACATCTTACTCATCTTTTAAAAAGATAGAAATAGCTTACATAAAAATTTTTATAAATCATTGGGACATCTGATACGAAGTTGCATAGCATTGAAAACCAAAATGTTCAAAAGAAATTGTACCAAATCTAGCTAAATGACATTTAATATTGATATTTCATGTAGCACAGGAGTACTGATCACATGCCTATTTATACCCTCGGTGACGAAACGTCCACCGGCAGTGGTATCGGACAAGTGGTATCGGACCAGTGGTTGCAAACAAAATAATCAAATACAAGATACAAGGCTAATATTTAGTGCGGTACATGCACGTTTCGTGTACCTAAGGCTCATCATGAACGTTCAAAAGAAAACAGTTTAAAAGACCAAATCAATCTCGATGAACAGTTAAGACGAATTATTCCAAAAAAGTTGCACCAAATCAGGCATATGCTATATATACCTCGGAGTTGGAAAAGCGTTAAAGTAGTTCAACAATTCAACTACAACTGATTTATAGATTATGACAGTATCAATGATATGTCATGTCAATACACGAGTTGTTGCTGACTTACAAAAGTGAATAAAGTGATATATTTTTTTCTATTGAAACCTGAAGTCATTACAGAAACCAAGTACTGTGGATTCATTTTTATTCGTATGTTACCAATTTTCATTGATTTCGTGGCTATAGGGAAACCACGAATTTAAATGTTCAATTAAGTGTAATTGTCTATAGGTTTCTATACAAACAATTCCAAAACCTCTCAATCAATTATCCACGAACATACAATGTTTTCCCAATCCATGATAATTTTTACCCACGAAAAGAAATTAATCTACAGTAATTTGGACATATTTCACTAAATGCATGCATAAAAATAGGTACAATATTTTTCAACATTCAAAACATACATTTGTAAATGTTCATCACTTGTTAAAACAAAATTGATAACAACATGTTATAAATTTCATACGTTCGAAGCGTTCTGGATTTACCTTCTTCGGGAACACTTAAAGCCGAATATTTGAAAGCCAAAGATGCATAATAACAGAAATAATTGAGTTTTAAGTTACAGAGGGTGTTCATAATAGATAATTGTAAACCTCAAATAGTTTATTTTGTTGGTAC